AGAGAAACTCCAGGTAAAGTAGGGGAGGAGGCAGAAAAGGTATTTTCAGAAAGCATAAGGCAATATTGTTTAACTCTTTATAATAATAGAAAAGCCATTCAGCTAGGGGAGCAGTCCTGGTCCACTTTCCTCTCTTAAGGTACACCATGTGGGCCTCTTCATAGGGCTGCTTGATGTGTCCTCACAAAATGGCAGCCAGCTTGCCAGAGCACATGGGTCATGAGTGAGAGCAAGTGGAAAGCTATGAGGCCTGTGGTGATCTAGTCACTCACCATTCATTCCATCATATTCTATTCATAGAAGTAAGTCACTGAGTCCAGCCCTCACAAAAGATAAGGGAAATTAAGTTCTACCTCTTGAAGGAAGGAGTATAAAAGAATTTGCAGATATTGAAAAGTGACCTATATGTTAAAAAAAAAAGAAAGAAAGAAAGTGAGAGATGTAAATAGATGATATGCAAAGACAAAGCAACATCCGTATAAGGGGATTCCCTGAAGAAGAAACCCAAAACAAATACTAAAACCTTTAACTCGTGAAACTATTTCTGAACTAAGACTTAAACTGGCATATTTAAATGGCATAGAGCATACCTAGGACAATCTACCTGGAATGGATAACACCAAGACATAATAGAGTAAGACAAAGGAGCTTTAAAAAGAAAGAAAAGGCAAAAAGACGACGCCATTTGTAAGGGAAAGTAAGAAGACTGTCAGCAGACTTTTCAGCAATAGTTTGCTATTTTTTCCCAGATACTAGGGTACATATTTAAAATACACAAGGAAGAAAATGAGCCAAGGGTTCTATAATTAGCCAAGCTGAACTCTGCAGGCATACTGCTATGAACATTTGAGAATAAGGGAATACTGTTGCCATGAACTCTTCCTGGGGATCTTCATCTAAAGAATAATCTTTAGACAACAAAAGTAATGGAAGTGACATCAGCATAAGGACAAACTGATGTGAATCACTGAATATATATTTACCTGTGGTTCTAAGAATAATTGGTATATTTAAGGGAGACCAAGTATTTAATGGTTGTGTGCTCTGACATCATGAATATTCAATTATGAAACCTCTGAAAAAGAAATAGCAACTATAGTATAACAGAGTGTGGTTTCTGTATTATAGGAAAAAACTAAAAAGAAATAGCTGCAGGTAAAACTATCAATAACAGTCCCTTCTCTCCAGAAAGACAGAAAAATAAAAAGCAAATAAGAAAAATTTCCAGTATGAGTTTCTATATTGAAAGAGCCTCCCAAGTAGTCATCAAAAGAATGAAGAAGAAAACACCTGTATCAAAGTACTTGTTCCCTAAATTTCTAAACAATGACTAATAAAAGATCCTAAAAGCTGTTATTGAGGAAAAGCAGGTCCATAAAGAAGATCAGGACTCAAACCGGCATTGGATTTTTCCCATTAACCTTAAAAGCTATAAGACTATAGAATAGTGTCTTCAAAACTCTATGGGAAGAAATTTCCAATGTAGATTTCTATATTCCCAAGTAACCCATTTTGTGGAAGGTAAGGGATAGAGCTCTTAGAACAAATTAAGTCTCAAAAAAGTTTCCCTTCATGTACATTTTCTCAGGAAGCCAATGGATTAGGTGCTCCACAAAAATGAGGCAATTAGCCAAGATAAAGAAAAACATGGGATCTAGAAAGGAAAAAGTCCCAAGATATTTACAAAGGGAAATCCCAGGATGACAGGCACTAGGTTTAGGGTCAACCAGTCCATTAGTGGTCAAAAACAGAGGATTTAAAGAGGGATATTTCAGTTAATAAAACAACAACACAATTGGGGCAGGAATGATTTCTGATTTATCTGACCCTACTGGAGGGAGTTTTGAAGCTCTACCAGAATCTGTGCATGAATTAGTAATAAGTACAACAGAAGGTAAATTTTAAACTGCAGCAATTGTTAACTATAGAGAACAAACTGAGGGTTGCTGGAGGGGATGTGAAGGGGGATGGGCTAAATGAGTGATGGGGATTAAGGAGGGCACTTGTGACAAGCACTGGGTGTTATGTGATGAATCACAAAATTCCACTCCTGAAGTTAATATTACACTATATGTTAACTAACTGGAATTTAAATAAAAACTTGAAACATTAAAAAAAATTGTAGCAATAATTAGAAACTGTTAGAAGTATGAAACAAGTTTGTCAAAGCTGTGGGATCAATATACAAAAATCAACTGAATTTCTGTACAATGAACAATGCAAAAATGAAAATTAAGACAACTCCATTTATAATAGTATCAAAAGAATAAGATACTTGGGAATAAATTTAGCAAAAGAAACGTAAAACCTATACTCTGAAAATTATAAAACGTTGTTGAAAAAATTAAAGAACATTTAAATAAGTGGAAAGATGTTCTGTTTCCAAGGATTAGAAGACCAAATATGTTAGGATGATAATATTCCCCAAACTGACCTACAGATTCAATGTAATCACCCTCAGAATCCCAGCTTGCTTCTTTGTAGAAATTAATAAGCTGATCCTAAAATTCGTATGGAAACTCAAAGGACCCAAAATAGCCAAAACACTCTTGAAAAAGAACAAAGTTGGAGGACCCTTGCTTCCCCTTTTCAAAACTTACTACAAAGTAACAATATCAAGCTAGTGTGGTACTGGCATAAGAATAGACACATAGATGAATGGAATACAATTGAGAGTCCAGAAATAAACCCACTTATTTATGGTCAATTAATTTTCAACCAGGTGCTGAGAATATTCAATGGGAAAGAGGGGTTCTTTCAACAAATGGTGCTGGAACAACTGTATCCACATGCAGAAGACTGAGATTGGACCCTCATCTCACACCACTACAAAAATTAACTTCAATAAATCAAAGACCTAACATGTTTTGTGTGTGTGTGGTTCAGCTAGTTTATTTTTTCATTTTTAAAAATTTTTATTTAAATTCAGTCAATTAACATATGATATATTTTAGTTTCAGAGGTAGAGTTCAGTGATTCATTAGTTGCATAGAACACCCAGTGCTCATTACATCACATGCCCTCCTTCCTGCCCATCACCCAGTCACCCCATCTCCCACTCCCTCCCCTCCAGCAAGTCTCAGTTTGTTTTCCATGATTAAGAGTCTCTTATGATTTGTCTTCCTCTCTGATTTCATCCTGTTTTATTTTTCCCTCCCTTCCCCTGTGCTTCTCTGCTTTGTTTCTTAAATTCCATGTATGAGCCAAATCATATGATTAATTGTCTTTCTCTGACAAATTTATTTCGCTTAGCATAATGCCCTCTAGTTCCATCCATGTCAAAGACCTCAAATGTGAGAGGTAGCAGGAGCCTGGTTCTCTCAGTTGATAGAGCTTGTGATTCTTGATCTTGGCTTTGTACGTTTGAGCCCCATGTTGAGTGTAGAGTTTACTTAAAAATAAAATCTTTATTTATATTCCCCAAATGAATGAGAACATATAATGCTTGTCCTTCTCTGATTGACTCATTTCACTCAGCATAATACCCTCCAGTTCCATCCACGCTGAAGCAAATAATAGTTAAAGGGAATAGAAGGGAAGGGAGAAGAAATGGGTAGGAAATATCAGAAAGGGAGATGGAACATAAAGACACCTAACTCTGGGAAACGAACTAGGGGTGGTGGAAGGGGAGGAGGGCGGGGGGTGGGGGTGAATGGGTGACGGGCACTGAGGGGGGCACTTGACGGGATGAGCACTGGGTGTTATTCTGTATGTTGGCAAATTGAACACCAATAAAAAATAAATTTATTGTAAAAAATAAAAAATAAATAAAATAAAATCTTTAAAAAAATTTAAGAGACAAAACCATAAAATTCTCAAAAGGAAACATAAGAGTAAACCTTTGTGACCTTTGACTTGCCAATTCTTAGATATGATACCCAAAACCCAAGTAAGAAAAAGCAACAAAGGGAAGTAGATCAATTGGGCTTTATCAAAATTTAAAACTCCTGAGCCCTGAGGGACATCAGTAAGTGAAAAAAACTCACAGAATGGGAGAAAATAACTGTAAATCATTTAGCTGATAAGAAACTTGTATCTAGAACATATAAAAACTGTTTGAACTCAATAATAAAAGGACTGACCCAATTGGTACTTTAAAATGGGCAAATGATCTGAATATACATTTTTCCAAAGACTGATGGCCAATGAACTCATGAAAAGACACTCAACATCATTAGTCACCAGGGAAATGCAAATCCAAACTACGATGAGATACTGCTTCACATCCAGTAGGGCGGTTAGAATCAAAAAGTCAGATAGCAACAAGGATGTGGAGAATTCAAAACCCTCATACACACTGCTGATGCGAACAGAAAATGGCACAACTGCTTTGTTTGCTTTGTTTTTTGTTTTGGGGTTTGTTTGTTTTTTTTTTGTCAGGGGGGCACAATCACTTTGGACAATAGTCTGACAGTTCCTCTGTGTCCAACACCAGGAAAATATTAAAAGTCACACAAAGTCCCAAGCATCAAAGGTCTGTCTAGACATATCCTGATGATGAAATCAGCTTAAGGTAAGGAAAATGCAAAGATAGTGTAAAAACACTGCCCATTAGTCACAGCAAATAATATAGGTCCAGGAAGGCTTGAAACATCTGCCCCGCTCGGGTCCTTATGCTAGAGGCTCCACGTGGCTTATACCAACTGCGTTCCTTATGCTCCCTTGTAAACCTTCTCAAAACAGCCCGGAGCCACTGCCTTACAGAGGAACTTAATGAGACAAACAACATTTGTATGGCACGCATGTGTGTGTACTTTACACAGTGCTGAGTTCTGACAAAGCTCACCTGTGATGACCTTGTCCTCTTGCAGCGTCTAACGTTCCTAACAGAAGGGACAGATAAACAGAAGGGCATATGCTTTAACGAAATGCAGAAGAAATGGAGAAATACGGTGGCTTTACTCTTGGTGGAGAAAAGACTGAAAGATAAGACGTGCAGTACCAGATGCCCCCCTGTAGGGTTTTAGCTTCCCCGAAGCAGCCTGGGGTGACCTCTGAAAATGGTTCATTATTCACTTGACCCAGAAAACCCCACAAAATCATGCAAGTCAAGAGGTTCAAACCTTTGTGTCGACTTTAAGAACACATGCAAAACTGCCCAGGCCATCGAGGACATGCATGTCCGAGAAGCCACCAAGGATCTGAAAGAGGTCACTCTGCAGAAGCCACGTGTGCCATTCCATCGCTGCAGCAGTGGACCTGGTAGGTGTGCCCGGGCCAGACAGTGGGACTGGACACAGGCTTGGGGACTCAAAAGGAGTGCTGAATTTTTACTGTGTGCGCTTAAAAATGCAGAGAGTAATGTTGAACTTAAGGGTTTAGGTGTAGGTTCTCTCGTCATAGGGCACATCCAGGTGAGCAAAGCCCCCAAGCTGCAGCATAGAATTTACGGGGCTCCTGGTTGGATTAACCTACCTAGGAGCTCTCCCTGCCACCCTGAGATGACCCTTACTGATAAAGAGCAGGTTGTTCCTAAATCAGAAGAGGAGGTCGGTCACACAGAAGACAAAGATATCCCAGAAGAAACTGGGAAACAAAAACTTATGACCTGGGAGTTAATTCTGCATGAAACAAATGCAGAGAAGTATAGGGTTTGCAAAAGCTGCAGTGAGAGCTGGAAGGCTTTCGAAAGCAGGGCTCTCGTTTAACTTCGGTTCCTCTGAGATGTGGCGTCAGGAGCACCACGATTGGCACACTCAGAATCTCCCTCAACCCCCTTCCAGCAGTTTTTCCACACTGCAGAGACTACAAGCCTTTTTTTCGTTTCTTTTTTTTTAAAGACGTATTCATTTTTGAGAGAGAGAGAGAGAGAGAGAGCGCGCACATGTGCGTGCAAGCTGGGAGATAGAGGGAGAGAATTTCAAGCCAACTCCATGCTGTGTGTGAAGCCCCACTCAGGGGCTCGATCCCAGGACCCTGAGATGGGGACCTGAGCCAAAACCAAGAGGTAGACACTTAACCGACTGAGCCACCCAGACACCCTGAGGCTACAAACTTCTAAGGACTTCTCCCAGCCTCCCCTGATGCTGGGTTCTGGATGGGGTCTAGGGCCTGCCGATCCCTCACGCTTGTGGCAGCCTTGAATCTGCAAACGAGGTACCTGGGCAGAGCGGCAGGTCATGTGACACCCGGTTTCCTAATGCGTGTGGTTTCAAGCCAGCATCTGTCACAGCTCCATGGGCCGCATCCTCATGGTGACAGGCCAGCAGCCTTCTTGGTGGGCCAGTCACATGGGGTGGCTTTAGTTTCTTCCTGGAAACACAGTGTAGAACCCGTTTCTCCATGACTCCATAAGCAGCTTAATACCTGTACCTAATGCCTTTCTACCAGTCTAGCCAGAGCTGATGCTGGTCCCTGCCCAGCCATGGGGCTGGATACCCCAGAGGGGAGGAGGTGATGGCAACCTCCGAAGCAGCGGGAGACACCCCTCGGGGAACTCAGGACAAGAGGACATGCTCAGTCTCTCAACTTGGTTCTGAGACTCCCAACAAGGAGGGACGCAGCGCCACTTCACAAGGATTAAGAGAAGGATTACAGAGGGTGACGTGTGTGATCGTGTGTTTCAAGAATACCCAGATTTAAAAAAAAAAAATAATACCCAGATAAATTTAGAAGAAGTTATTGAGATCTCCAACAAAGCCCAAATGGCCCATCCAGTGTGTCTCACAGGCCTGATGGACCACTCCCTCACCTTTTCTTGTCCAGCCGTGCTGGCCTTTCCTTAGTCAGATTCCCTATGCCCCTCTCTGCCTCAGACCCCCAGTCTGGAACATTCTTTAACTGATACCTCCTACATGTTCTTAAATCAATCCTGCCATCGAAGCTCAGACCTCAGGCTGCTCATGTCATGAGCTCTCTTGACATGTTCCATCTCCCTTAGTAATGAGTCACAGCCAGAATTAAAAGACTGATTTGGGGTGGAATTGCTACCTTTTGCAAGATTGAAATCATGGCAGGTCCAGAAACTGATGCCCAATTCCATTTCACTGGCATCAAAAAATATTTCAACTCTTATACTCTCACAGGTAGAATGAATTGTGTATTGGCCACATAGGGAGGCATTGCTCTGATGATTTTATGCTTCAAATTAAGGTCTAAAAAAATACCAGCTATGAAAACAACATAAATGGGCTTTAACTTGGACCTCATCTGTTAAGTTAATGTCATGCTTGGAGAAGCTAATGTCAACTCATCATGTGATACTCAATTTGTACAATAAATTATGAACCTGGAAAAAAAAGAGAGACTGATTTGGGCAAGTTAAAAAATAGATGTCTACCCCGTAGACAAGAAAGTTCATGCAGGCAGAGACTTAGCCTTGTGCGCTAGCATAGTCCCAGGGTCTCACAGTGCTCTGCACATGGCCGGTGCTTCTAGTTTGAGTGAATGTGCTCCATCTTCCTCAATTTTGTTGCATCTCTATTTCAATACCCGCTCCCAGGTTGCTACAGCAAGGGAAGGCAGCCTGCAGAACTGGCCACAAGTTCCTAAATGCTGCTGTCCGGGAGGGACAGGCTTCCCTTCCGTGAACATTTCCTAGGCCAAAGCCCGTCACAAGGCCATCTTCATTCAAAAGGGTGATCGGGGATGGGACAACTGCAAATATCAGCTTGTTGCAGCTCCCTACCCAAGAGGCTAACCTAATGTTAAGGTTGGGATAGGGAGAAGTACTGATTAGTCTGTAAGTAGTGGCTTGAGTTTTGCTTCCTGAAGCAAGCACATTGAGTTCTTTGTTCTAAGGCACATTTTTCCCCGTTTCACTTTTATTGTTATGTTCTCCACTGGCTAATGTGCATTCACATCTTGGCAGTCCTAAGCTCAGGGCTTTACCAGAAATGTCCCTGTGAAAATGAACTTTAGGTCAATAGCAGAATTTGCTTACCCAAGCTGGCTCATCATCTATTCACTGCCTTAACGAGGACAAGCAGATTGAGTCCCTTTGTTACACATGAACCCTGGGTGTACTGTTGCTTTCATTCATTTGCTTTGAAATTAGCTGTTCTTAGGGCTTTTGCAGAAAGGGGCCTGCATCAACAGTCGACCACACATTTATTGAGCATCTGTTACCTATAATTCCTTTACCAGGTATTGAGACGTACGAAGAAATACAATTGATGGCTCTTGTCTTCAAGGAACTAATTCCAGCTGAGGAAACAAGATGAAACAAACCCTCCAAGTGTCACCTAAACTCATGGCCATGGATACTTAAACACAGACTCAGTGGCGAGGCGCTAAAAAGAAGTGCAGAGGCAAAAAAGTGCCACGTGGTGGTTGTGTGGTCAGGATCTCTGGGGTGTGTGGATGGTGATCTGGGCTTGGGGAGGGTAGTAGGTCTCAGCAAGTGGAGTATGGGTCTCCCCCCTAGGCCTGGGCTTCCCTAGGGAGAGCCTGAGAGAGAGGAGAGAGAGGAGCATGATCAGCAACGGTGGTGGGGAGAGAACATTCACCACCAGTGGATGCGGGGAGGTGCTGCCAACACCGTGGGGAACAACGCTAAAAGCAGGGGACTCAGCCCAGCGGTGGCCTCCAATCCATCCAGTCATCTCAGTCCTGAGGTCGGGTCGTCCTGCACCTGAGAATCCAGAAACTCTACGTCTTCTGGAAAGTCCAGCATTGGGATTAATATCCAAATCAGCCCACAGCTGCCCTGGATCTTTCTGCAACAATCAGGCCTGTGCAGACCGAACCTGTCAGCACTGCCTGGGCTGAACTCAAGGGCTCTTCCCTCTTGAAAGATGCTGGAGGAAGCTGCCCAGCTTATTCTGTGGGTGCAAGCCTGGACGCGTCGGGCAGTCAGCACCCCTGCGGCAAACCTCAGCCAAGGGGGGTCTTGGGGGACATGCCATGGATACATGCTCCCCTCTTCTGTCTCCTGGGCTGACAATCCTCAGGGTGCTTTACACATTTCTCCAGGGGGTCCCCAGAAGGAGTGAACCACCATTGCCCTCATTAACACACTCTGCACTGGCTTTTCCTCCTCCAGGTCCCCAAAGAAACAAGTCCTCATGCTCAAGTAGAGACACAACAGCCTCACCCCCCAAAAACTCTTTCAACTTCTTTACCTACTTCTTCATTAAAGCATTTACCCTTTTGCCTCAGGGTTAATCATTAACTAAGGTCAAAAAAAAAAGAGGACATTCTTTGCACCTTGCTCTTATAATTTAACAAAATATTTTGGAGATCTTTTCACATGAGTACATATGTGTCTAATTTTAAAAATAGTATCCTCTCTGTGGAATATCATAATTTATATAATTGGTTCTCTATTCATTCTTATGACAAATACTCCAATGGATATCTTTTTTTCGGGGGGGGGATTCTTAACTAGTGGGGGATTCTGTTGCACCAGTGTTGATATTATTGGCCAACAACCTGGTAGCCCACAAATCGAGCAGTCCCCAGGATCTTTTTAATGGTTCCAGAGTCTTCTGGCTAAAGATCAGTACTGCGTCTGTGGGGCAATGTTGACAATCTCATCCAAAGTGATATTTCCACTGTGCTTAATGTTTTTCTTTCTGTCTCTTGGCAGTTCCTGGAGAGCTCTCCTCATCAGGGCAGAGGGAGAAGGTACCATTTCCATCTGGGCCTGTCTGTTCTGAACGGTCAGTTTTGCTGTCATCCCCAGACCCTTCCAATCACCAGTTGCCTTGGTGATGTCGTCACCAAACTTCTTGGGAGACAGACTCAGGGGACCCATCTTGGGAGCCAAGACAGACACGGCACCAGCTTTCCCACGGGGGCAGCTCAGATATACGACTTAGATCTTGTTGGGGTTGAACTGAGATGTCATGGTGGAGGTGGCTGGTGTCAGAAGAACCCAGAAACTGGATGGCCAGACATAGTTGCATCTTCACCTCCTCCTCTGAGCCAAAAGCCAAAAGCTCAATGGACATCCTTGTGTGTGTGTGTGTCTGTTTTCTCCCAACTGCCCTTAATCTTCATTTTAATGTGATTTCTCCTGACCAAAATGTTGGGAGAAATATCCTAGCCTGTATTTTAGTAGGATAGGCCAGGATGGACAGCCCTCAGGCAGTAAAGCTGAGCTAGTAGCTGTGCTGTCTTGCAGGACAGCCTTTATATCTGCAAGAGTTTAGCCAACTGAGAAGTTGGAGCAAGCAGTCTGCAGAAGCGACTACGCTCACTTCCGACATAAGCTGCTAGAAGAATTCACAGAACTCACTGAAAGCTGTTATGCTTCGGTTAGACTGTAACGCAGCTGAAGGATACAGCCTGGAATCAGGTAAAGGAAGAAGTACCTGGGGCAGTTCAATACTTAACTCAAGATCAAGTATGAAATGCTGAGCTCTTGTCCTCTCCCCATGAACACATGACATTGTCACTCTCTTGGTATTGATGTGAACGATATGCAGTGAGTTTTGCCAACCAACGAAGCTCACCCCAGCCTCGGTGTCCAGAGCGTGTATCAGGGCCCCATCCAGCGGGCAGACTCAGGTTCTAGCCTTTCAGGAGTTCAGCTGACAGCACATGGCTCAAATCCCCCAACCTCTAGCACGTCGTGGCTGTCCGTCTGGTGGGCTGTGAGACAAACAAGGACACTCTGATCGGAAAGCTGAGGACAAAGGCCAGACTTCTTCTTGGAGTAAAGGCTAGATTCTTTACTACACGATACCAAAAGCAGAATCCACCT